GGGTCAGACAGTTGACACCTGGGTGGCTGGCCTGGGGGGGGGGGGGGCCCCGGGGCGGGGGGCATCGGCACCTCCACTACCTTTGGTGGGGGGGGGGGGGACCTTGTAGTCCACAGGTTTAGTTTGTGCTCCGGTTACCTGTGCCATGGAAACCAAGTTGCTACGCTGCACAGAGAGTGTGACTTCGTGTAAAAGTGAGGGGCTTTGTTAAAAATGGCTGCCGTTATTCTATACTTCTCTTAGTGTGTGAGTGAGTGAGTGAGTGAGTGAGTGAGTGACTAAAGTACAGTGGCCGTGTTCATCATAATGAAGAAACATGTCGCCCAGTGAAACAATGTGGGTCATTGATGTATTTTAAATAGTTTTTAGGCAACAATGGAGCTCTTTGGCTCAGTAGGATATATTCATTCATTGACAGGGAACATATAGAACAATGCTGTCCTTGTTTTCATAGAGGAATCAAAAGACAAACAACCAATAAATGTTTCTGTAACCTGTTACTGTGTTTGTGTATTGCAGTTAATGCACAGGGTGTCATTTGCTGGGGTTTTACATTAAGGATGTGATGCTCAATAGAGACTAGTGTGTACAGTAAGTGCTCTGATACAAACAGGAGAACGTGATGTGTGTAGTAATTCCCTTTATGGACTCGTGGGGAAGTCTTCTGTATGAATAACGTTTTATGGCAGTTTTTTTTCCAGTGTCTTTGATTCAGCAAATAAGTATTATCATTGATCAATCTACCCATTGTTTCCTCAATTAATTGTTTTGTCTATAAATTGTAAGAAAACAATGAAAACTGTTCTACTTCACAACCCACAGCAGATTGGTTGTTTATTTGTCCAACGGCCCAAAAGTATTCAGTTCACCGTCATTTATAACAATGGATTCATCGATGAAACTGGAACTAAGGAATGTTTGTTTGTTTTTGGTTAAAAGATGGTGTCTAACCAACTATCGTAATTGTAGTTTGAAGCACTGGTTCATTGATTCTAGTCTTGCTGGGTTTATATCAACATAATGTCCAGAGGTTATCATCATTTTGAACCGAAGTTTGTTGATACTACTACCTACACGAAAGAGACGAGATGATGTACCTCTTCTTCTGTCAAAACTGCTCAACTGATAAACATGTCCTCATTGTCCCAGGAACTATCTGCTCATATTGGTACTTAAAGCATTTACTCAGGACTTCCCGTTTAGTCTTAAAAGGGATTTCCACAGATTTTACACATTAAAGTCTGTTCAAAGTCTTGTAGTTTAAAGCATTTTGTGCCTCCAGATAGAGCTGTGAAAAGTTGATAAATTGCCTCAAGTGATGTCACTTGAGTTGATGTCATTTGAGGTTCAAGACTACAAGTCTGAAAACTAAAACAAATGATGTGGAGTTAGAAAGAAGTGAGCGTACTAGACCTCTGGAGGCTTGAGGCTACATTAGCGGCTGCTTGCTTAACGCATCCCAACCGCTGAGAGAACTGTCGGTGGTCAAGTGGCATTGTGGGTAATGTGGGCACCAGTTTTGAGTCGGACAGTGTTGTAGGAGCACAGTGCTGAGTCTCGTCTTCCTTTTAGCTGACGATATGATGTAAACATCCCTGTAGTAGAGAACTTTTAAGTAAGTTTGAGCAATATTTGCAAAAAGTTACGATGCTGCACGCTAACAACACTGTAAAGGTGACAACATTGTTTAGTACTTCCATATTGTTCCTTTGAGGTTTTCAACACAATTACATTTAGTTCAGAGAGAGAACGTTCATCTCAAGCAGAACCTTCTCACTCTTGTTTCAGATCTGTCCAATATGTGCTGCCTTGCCAGGAGGGGATCCCAACCACGTCACCGACGACTTTACAGCTCACCTCACACTTGAACACAGAGCGCCAAGAGATTTAATATCCTTTCTGTGTCTCCCAGCACTATTGTCTGCATAAAGATTTGTTCGTATGTATTGTTTAAAGAAATGTCGATGCCATATTTTGTGTCGTGTAACAGCATTTAGCCTTAACGGTCCGTTTACGATGAGTCCAGCAGCGTTCGACATGTACGCAGGATGTTCCACCCTGGACGAGGACTGGGCGGGCCCAGAGCACGGCGGACTAATATGCACTTTACTAGCGGCTCCACGGGGGGGCTCTCCTCCTCCTCATCGCAGAGCTCCACTTACACCCCCAGCAACAGAGAGGCAATGGACCCAATCGCAGGTGAGCATCGGGAGTGTAACGCTATAATAAATAATACAAATACAAAGTAATGGTCTTCTCTCACAAATAGGATGCATTGGATCCTTCACTAGTACCATCAAAACCCCTGCATGTCTGCTAATGTTTCAAATGTTTACACTTTTGTATGCGTTTTGTAGTTTGGAGCATTTTTGGATCTCCTTAATGTCTTTAGTCTTTGTGCGTGTTTTGTCCTTAGGGGCCACCGTAGTTTTGTGACAGCCAAGTGTGTATGTCAGCAGAGCTCAAATGGTAGATTGTAGCTTAAACTGCCTTTTCCATGGAGTAGAGTTTCAATAAGTCGATCTATATTTCATAGAGTAGTTGTTGTTCTGTCCTCTCTAATGCGCCATACAAACCATTATACAAGTTATTTGTCTTTACCCCAAAATAACTGGGTCAAGACAGTTTTATAAAGTCTGTGTTGAGATTGTACACAGACTAAAACAGTGATTGTGTAATCATGTTTAAATTTAGTGTTAGTGGAATATTTTTTTTAAGTAGTCTACTCATTAAGTTCTCTCATCTTTAGAAAATAAAATCCAGGAAAGATATCAACCTATTGGTTACTTTCCTCTGTCCCTCATATCCTCCTACGGGTGTCTACAGCGTTGCCTTCTGAAATCCCGACTTATTGAGAAACGGCTGACGACTGTTTTTTTGTTGCGTCTCCTGCAGAGTTGTTGTCTCAGCTGTCAGGTGTGCGGCGTGCGGCGGGGGGGCAAATAAACTCATCGGGGCCTTCAGCCTCGCAGCTCCAGCAGCTCCAGATGCAACTGCAGCTGGAGCGGCAGCAGGCTCAGGCCGCACGGCAGCAGGTGGAGACGGGCCGCCACGCGACACGGCGCGGCAACAACCAAGGCAATGCCATCCCTCCGCCCAACACGGCGACTGCCAACACTGCCGCCGCGGGTGAAAACAATCCCTCGTCCTCATCCCACAGCTCCCAGTTCCTATTAGCACGGTGAGTAAGGCCCGTTATCAACAGTGGTCATTTGTGAAAAATCTGTCCATCTTTCTACAGTTATGTTTGTCTATCATGAACGTATTAGAATCTGATCTTCACCATCTCCTCCAGGTTGAATGACCCTAAGATGTCCGAAGCGGAGCGGCAGTTTCTAGAAGGAGAGCGCGCCGACCGCAGCCTGTTCGTCCAGGAGCTGCTTCTGTCCACGCTGATGCACGAAGAGAGCTCCTCCTCCGACGAGGACGAGCGCCGAGACTTCGCCGACTTCGGGGCCATGGGCTGCGTGGATATCATGCCTTTAGACGTGGCGCTGGAGAACCTCCAGCTTAGAGAGCACAGCTTTATGGTGAAGGAGCCTCCGCCGCCGCCTCTTTGATGTCCGAGCATCACGCAGACTGTGTCCTCTCTGCTGCAACTGTCAGTGATGGGCAGACAACGGCGGCAGTCCTCCCCTCCCCCTCCCCCCTCTGTTTTCTTAGTTTGTTTTTTCGGTGATTGTAATTTTAAGGCCTGTCACCATTTTTGTTACATTGTAAACAAAAAATAAATGAGAGCAAGTGGGATAAATGTGCGAGTGCGCAATAGCAACTGAGTGAGCGAGCGAGAGAAGAGAAATCTATAAATATCTATATATATATATATATATATATATATAAAATATATATGAAGTTGATAATCAATCCACATTTCTTTTCTTTATCAGGTAAATGTTACAGGCGGCTGTGCAGACCTTTTGCTTCCTGTGACATGCAAACGTCTCTCCGTATAAATCCTCCACATTCAAACGTCCAGAGGTCGAAGATGAAGCTCTGATGAAGCTGCTGTGTGTGTGTGTTTATGACTATTAATAAATAAAAAGTGCTTGGATGGGTTACCATAACTACTGCATGCAGTTATTTGCAGCGTGCATGACTTTTAATGACCCCCGTCATTAAAACTTTAAAAAACTATATATATATATATCCCAAAGCTTCTCAACTGTTTTTAAATGGATATTTCAAACATGCTTAAGTATTTGGAATTTTAGTAGTTTACAAAACTGAAATTGAACCCGTAACCACGTATCCTGTTTCTTTAAATGAGTCTTTATAACGAAGGGAAATCAATTGGCTTCAGCTCCTGAAAGACCTTTTCTCTGAGGCGACTGTCTGAACATGTCAACGGCTGCAGAGCATCCGGTTCAGAGGAGCAGAAGAAGAAAAGGGAGCTCGTCTCTGGTTTAGTTTTTTTCTGAGATATTTATGTTTAGTGATAAGCTGTTTAGGCACAGTATACTTTATGATTTATAGATAAGTACAGACGCCCAACTGAAGAGTACCCATTGCTCCTTCACACTAGTTTGTGGAGTTCACTCTGCTTCTGTTCAGGCCCGGGGTCAGACCTTTACATGGCCTGTGTGAATCTCTTATTTTCTTCTGCTAGGCTTAGCACTTTCTATTTATTCACGTTTGTTTTTTTCTTATTCTTTTGAGCCTTGATCTGAGTCATGCCACCTTCATGCCGATACTTTTACCCTCTGTGAAGTACTTTGAGATGTATATGGAATTTGTGCGTTCATTTTCATAATGGTTCCGAGACTTGGGCAGATGGTTTTTTTAAAAATGTAAATTTAGAATACAATAAATATACACTGCGCACAGCTTTTGATGAAACCAAGAGACCATCACACTATCGCACCTTGTGTTGTTGTGATTCCTCGGATGTTTGTGTTTAGCCGGCACGGTTTCATGATCTGTTGGTACATAAAACTTAAAATCTTTACGTATGCTTGAAAAGTGAGGATGGGAATATTTACAACTCTTAACATGTTACTTTAACCCTCCTATTTAGCATGTATAAGTATATAAACAGTTAATATTGAGATACAACACACTATAATGTAATTGTAAGCCAATGTTTATTTATGTACTAACTCCTGTGGGAATTCATAAGTGGAGGCTCAAATATACTTTAATAAGAGAATTTATAATTGTTGACAAATGTTGCACATTAAACACTTCAAATGATCTCTCTTTACAGCTATATTATATTGTGTTATAAACCATTTATTAAGTGTGTAACTACTGATTATAAATGCTAAATAAGTGGGGGGTTTAAACTAAAGTGTTACTGTAAACTTTGTCTACATATAACATGTAGTATAGTATGAAAGCAGACACTAAGAAATCAATAACAACATATACATACTCCACTGAGTGGTGTGAATGAATGAGAGACAAATATATATTATATTTATTCTTCCTGCAGCAGATACTCTGAAGCTTCCCTCTGAGCGTCGGTATGTGAAAGACGTCCCACCAGAGTGTGGAGATCCTTACCACTAACACGACACCGAGGTAGGTTACACACCACGTAGCTTCACTTTCTTTCAACTTGTCTTAGTGTGTGTTAACTGTGACAATATAACACCACGGAAATACTTGTCCTAGCTGTCCTTGTCACTCCTCAGTAGTTATTGTTAGAAACAAATGGTGCCCATGAGATGCCTTTCACAACACATGTTGGCTCTTAAAGTGGCCCCCAAACAGTCAGTCACACCTTAGCGGCCAATCTGCCAATGTGTTGTGTTCAGATTAGCCGGAGAGGACAAGCCATCGGTCAAACACTGTAAGACAGCCATCTGGAATTTTGAATGCTGGGATTGTTTTACACAATAAAGGCCTCTGGTTGGATGTCCAGACACATCCTGCAAAATGCAACACTGCGTAACAAGTCCAATAACAAAACGTTAGTTGAAAATACAGAAAGATAATGGATTGAATCTTCACATTGATCCCTAAAGAGTCACAATTGACAAGATAAATCACATATTTCCTCTAATATTTGCCTATTTCTATTCTTTGGGCCTCAAACAGTTGTTGAAATGAAACAATTTGAGAAGTTTAGATGCCAGAGAGACCTCTGTAACATGACAAGGAGCCCCAACTATACATCGTTTTGAATGTAAGAGGCTGCAAGCCCAAAGCAGTTTATTAGCTTTAGCTGTCCGATGTTCAGTATGTTGTGGAGTAGAAGTATAAAGTAGGATAAAAGTACCAAAGTAAAGTACTAATATTTGTGTATTCAAAACTTCCCATAAACTAAGCTAGGCGGCTTCATATTTATTGTGCAGATGAGGGAGTTGTTTCAATCTTCTTATTTAACAACAGGAAAGTGAATAAGCGGAATTACTACGATGCCAAACTATTCCTCTAAGACGTCCACATTTTTACTTCCAAACTTGGAATAGACCCGATGAATTGTGAGGACGCAAAGCGTATTGTAAGACATACCACCTTTATTAAATGCACAGTATCACAAGGAACATTTCCATTAATTGTGGATAAGCTACTCACATGATGCACAAAGCATTGAATTGATTGATAGAACTGGCTGATTAAAGCAGGATTAAATCTGCCAGGAGAGCACACACACACACACTCACACACACACACACACTTGCATACAAGATGTATGTGCAAACACACACACACACCATCTCTGAGACATGAGTCACACACACAAACACACTCTCTCTCTCTCTCTCTCTCTCTTTGTATTCACACAGTAAGTAAAATCTGTTATCTGCACAGGAATGAAAACTGTAATCTTTTTTTTCATTTACCGTATATTTACAAAAAAATCTGCAACGCCCCCCCCTCCCTCCCTCCCTCCCTTTTACCTCAATATAGATTACATTCAAAAAAGGTCCCGACCCTTCTAGATTACATTCAAAATAATATACTATTCATGATGCAAAGTCACAGTTATTCATCTGAAAGAGGATCAAAATAGGCTACAGTCAGTCAGAGGTTGAGTGGTGGGGTTGACCTCCTCGCCATCGGCCACACGTCTGCTGGGACGCCTGTCGAGCGTAGGAGAGATCCCGATGTTTAGTCAGATCCAGAGTCTATGGTCCTCCTACAGGCAGACGGCCTCTGTGCAAGCTCCCCATCACAGTGGAGAGGAAAAAGAGATTTTCTTTTTTTTTTCTTCAGAGAAAAACACATTGTTCAAATAAAGTCCTCTGCAGATCAAAAAAGTTGCCAAAAAAGGATTGTATTCTCACTGGTATTATGAACGAGCACAAAGAAAGTATACAATGTATAGCACAAATAAAATCGTATTTACATATAGTATGTATTGCCAGTGGCCCATAACACGTTGTCGTCAACAGATGTCACACGGTTTTGACATGATACCTGCTTAAAACAGATTATACTATTAAACATAGCCTACTATTGATATAGACAAATATCAGAACTGTACAGAATGGACAGCAATTTATGTACAGCAGACACGTGACTATGATACAGAACGGACAAACGCTGTAATAAAAACATAGAGGGACGCTGAATCCTTTTCATCAACCACGATGTGTCAGAGTTGGGACTTGCCTCGGTCATGGCCGCCACAGTAAGGGTGAAATGTTTTTTGTTTTTTTTTGTAATTAAGTGCAGTCGAGGTCAAGGCGGAGAGTGGTCAGCCGCTCAGGTTGTGCATTAGGGGGGGGGGGTTAAGTAACGCTACAAAGTGCACTTAACATAACTTATTGTCTCAGCTGAGAGCCGCACTGCTTTATGCCTCCATATGGAAATACATGACGGTTATTATGAAGGAGTAATCTCTGCTGTTTTTGCAAAGGTTAATACAGTATGTACACTTGGACCACCGCACTTGCTTTAATATTTTAGCCTCTTTTTCTTTTTTAAAATCTGCAAACAGACCAGTTGAAGATAATTTGGGAAAACGGAACTACATGTATTTTAAAATCATTTTTTTCAAGCAGCCGATACAAATGTGCTTCAGCGATGCCCGAAGTGAGCAGCTGGATCAGTCACCACCCGGCTGACTGGGGCCGCTCAGAGAGATGAAAACACCCCTGGGGCTCTTTGAGGGCAATCAGACTCTGAATTAACCCTTTTGTTGCGGCCTCTTAGCCTACTGTTTAGAACTAAAGATTACATCTTCAGAACACACTCTTGTAATGCAAAGAAATGACAAATAAACAAGTAGCAACTTCAATACGTACAGAAACCAAAGTGCTGAAAACAAATGAATCAGTGCACAGTAAACTGCATCCGAATGCCCCGTCAATCCCTCAAATCACTCAAAGAATGAATCTATTCTTCTCTTATCAAAGCATAGACACAATCTCATCAACAGCCACAACATTTGAGAAAAAGAACCTGCTTCTGATAATGCATACAAAACCACATCACTTACAGATATGGGCCACCGAACAACAGAGATTTGCTAAATGGCATCGCTGGTGAATGAAAAAGTAAAACAAAACTGTGCTCATCTTCTTTTTTTTGTTTGTTTTTGAGCTCAACACCGCCGAGTCCTCATTCTCTGTGCTTTAGATACATCAAATGAAAAGGTTGTGAAATGTAGCAGAGCACTCCAACAACGTTTCAAACACCACTTTGTAAATATAGATGACCTAGTGTGTAGATATTTACATAAAATAGGACAAATGGTGATGGCGTTATTTAAAATAATGGTGCAAAATGCTGTATGCCCTTTGTGTTTTACAGCCTCAAAGTTGATGAGGAAATCACTCAAGTCGGTTATCTATAACAGACACAGGCATCTATGAGAATCTATATGGGTTTTATGATTAAACGTCTGTGTATAATGATATACACGTATGTTTAAAATAATTTTAACAAAAGAAAAAGTTTCTGAAGATGACTGAAAAAGCACAAATGGAAATCAACAGCGTGGCGTGAAAACAGAGTCAACATTTATAAATTCTACAAATATTAAAATAGTCTGTGAAATATAAAAGAAAAAGCTTCAGCTGTAGCTTGATGAGTATTTTCTGCAGAATATGTTGCTCCGTGTGTCGAAAGAAAGAGAAAGCTCTATCTGCAAAGTTGTGTCCATACTCTGTCCATTATGGAGACAAAGTATTTTCCCTTTCATTCCCAGCAAAATGGAATACAGGAGACGATCTGATGCGATGAATGTAGACCGAGTAACCCAGTGATCAGTATTTCTGATTGTCGGGTTTCATTTATTTGTATGCCTTTCACATATGTATGCGTTTTGGCTTTCCATTGACGAAAACATGCCTCGGTGACGTCTGCAAATGAATAAAGAAACCCCCAAAAAATAAAATAAAATCACTCAAAATTTAAGGCTTTTCTCGATGTAATGAGGACACGGACAATAGCATTTACAGGGACATTTACAGCCAGGTACTATACACAAACTCGCTCACACAGTCGCACAACCTTCACTCTCTTCTCTCCTCTCCGTCACCATTATGTGCGAACAGACACACAACCACGCACAAAGCCCCCGCTCACTCACACACACACACACACACACACACACACGAAAAGTACATACAAGAACACCAGGGGCTTCAGCCCAGTATGTCCAGGTACACAGGCGAGGCCTTGGCCAGGCTCTGGAGCATGCTGTGGATCTCCTTGATGTTCAGCCTCATGTAGGGCTCCCTCTGCCAGCAGCCCAGCATCAGGTCGTACACCTCTTTAGGACAGGAACGGGGCCGCTGCAGCACGCGGCCCTGGGTGATGCACTCGATCACCTGCGGGGGGTTACAGGGTGACAATACGGGTGTTCAAATGAAATCAATGCAGCAAGTTCTCCTCAGATGTTGCCAATGAAATGAAACATTGGAAGGGTTAAGCGATATTATCTAAAAGCAACAATGATTTAAAGATGATAGTGAAGTTTTCGTGATTGTTAGATAATTCTCAACCTATCTCTCTTTCGTTTGTTTTGTATTAATTCAGATGGTTGCTTTTGAGCCAACGTAGCGTGCGTCACTTTAGGTGAGATTAGTCACCAAGTCCATGGTTCATGTCCGGCCTGGGACATTTTGTTGCATTGTATTCTCCATCTCTCTCCTCTACCATTTCTCTCCACTGTCACTATCTCATAAATGCCCCTCCCAAAAAAAAGGATACATGAAAATATTTTTTGTTTATTTAAAGAAGAACACTGAGATAAAATTAAGGAAAAAAAAACACAAATTAAGAAAATGGGAATTTAAGTTTAGCATTGCACTTCAATTACGTCGAGAGAGGATACAACATTTTCCACAATTATACTGCGTTCATGTCACATCGAAGTCATCATAATTATGAGTTTCTAACTTGTACATAGTGTTCACGTCAATGTCCAAGTTATGATTACAACTCTGAGAGCTCTAATACGTGTGAGTTGTGCCTTAATAATTAGAAGTGCCGGAAAACAAAACAAATATGGACGCCTCACATCAGCCAAAGACCATCGTTGTATAATTAAATAAACCTTCTTGATGATATGAACGCGGTGTTAGTTGCATCTTCACCTCCTGGATAACGCTCACGTCTAGGTAGGTCATGAATAGGTGTAATTTAAAGTCTCTGAGCTCTGTGCTCATTGTCTGACTGCAGTATCTGCAGACCTCGTGTGACTCTGACCTCATTGTTGGACAGCTGGTACCAGGGCTGCTTGCCGTAGGTGAAGATCTCCCACAACACCACGCCGAGGCTCCACACGTCACTCTCTGTGGTGAACCGCCGGTACATGATGCTCTCTGGAGGCATCCAGCGGATCGGCAGCATCGTATGACCGCCCACCTGCAGAGAGAGAGAGAGAGAGAGAGAGAGAGAAATCAGTCTCCATTAGAAACCAACACCACAAGCCCCGCTGAAGAGTTTAAAGCGGCTGCTTGGACTTTAATGGGATATTTCTAGCCAAGCTTGTGGACCGGCACTGTGGATGAGAGTGTCGGTTGGTAGTTCCACCGCTTTGATCCAGACTGAAATATCTCAAAAGCTACCGACAGACATGGTACAGACATTCATGGTGCCCAGAGGATACGTTCTCATGCCTTTCTTTGTTTGTTTTGGATGCATTCTCCTCCAACTCCAGAGACCTGCCATCCTCAAGTCATCCACCAGATGCTCTCACCTGACGTCCCCTCCCACCTACACACCTGTTCCCGCTTTCCTCAGCAGCCCATGCCGATGTATCTATACCAGCACATTCCCACTTGTTCCCTGTCAGATTATCTTGAGTGACTCCCTTTTTGTCTGACTCTGTTATTGAGGCGGTTGTAAATAGCTTTCTAAGTGGCAGAAAACCTAAATTATACAAAAACTCAAAAGAGCTTTCCAAAGAACATAATCATCCACCAGGTTTATCCATTATTTTATATTTTCCCACTATATAGCTGATGAGGCTCCAGTAGCAATGGGTTATAGTCAAGCGATATGTAAAAATAATGTTTACTTCCCCATAAAAACATGAAACTTGTACAGTTTAGCGCCCTGAACATTTTCAGAAATGGAGCCATCACAAAAAATGCCTTGTGGCGGCCATTTCACTTTCTGCCACAACCAAATGATGTATTTCGCATCGTGTCTCCTGAACCAAACATGATGACACAGAAACTTTGTTTTGGTGGCGAAGGATTACAACAACATTAAAACATCCTAAAACTGTTCAGGTGAATAGTTAATGGTGGATTCAGTGATGTGAGAAGCAAATCACAGTATCTGAGAACCTAGGCGTGACTTTATGATAGCGTGTCTGTTGCATGTTGTTAGTTTTAATCCTTATAACACACACACACAGTTCAAGAGGACTGCATCCCCCAAAATGATCATACAGTTTAACATTTCTCTAACACCGTTTCAACAAAACCTAAACATTATAACCTTCATGGAATGCATGAGTTTTAGGTAGGTGTGTACCTAATGAACTGGCTCCTGAGTGTGTTTTTTTATTTTTTTATTTTTTGACAAATTAAATTGAGTCACTCTGGCATTCCTGTAACACGCCTGTTATTACATCAAAACCTTTTATCCAACCAGCGTCTTCTTGTCTTCTTCCATCAGATATTTCCTGTCTACTAAATGCATTTCCTCCTCTCACTGTCTCCTCTCTTATCTAATCACCATCCTTTCACGTTCATCACCTACATACACCGTAAACTCGCATGCACCATCACCCCATCATGTGATACTCTGTGTAACCGGCAGCTCAACAATGGTGCACGGATGAAATATATTTCTAGTTTTATTCACCCCACATTATTTATGTCGTCCTCTAAACCTGAGTTTTACATCGTTGTATCACTGTTTTGTTGTGTCACATGATTCCCTTTTATTCATGAAATGATAGCAGCCTCATATTGTTAGCTGTGTCTCTATTTGATAACGTTGTTTGACATCAGGAGTTGGTGACAGGCCCTCTTTATGGTGATCGTATCTGATGCGGGGAAATGCATGTCTGAGATGTTTTTTTTGTGTTGTCTGACTCCACTTTGGGCAGCAGAGGGCACTGTGGGATTCAAGCTAGGATTTGATACAGAAAGGATGAGGGAATAAAATGCATCCATCTGTTCCTCAACATGACAAATTGTGTGTGTGTGTGTGTGTGTGTGTGTGTGTGTGTGTGTGTGTATATATATATTTTTTTTATTGGCCTGTAATATTAGTGTAATCTTCTCGTCGGACCATATACTGTACCATAACTCCTCTATGGTTTAATAATATGATGATATTCACGTAGAGTGAAGGGACGTATTAACTCCTTGCCCAGGGGAGAAAAAAAACTGGCGAAGCATTTTTGCACTGTTGGGCCCTTATTACCATGGAAACAGTAATTTTATGCAGATTATAGAATTTGCATTTAAATGGTATTAAAAATAGATAAAATACCTCTGGTTAAAATTGACATTTCTGCAGCTACACAGTTATTTCAGGCCAAAACTGGAATTAAATTCTAATTGCATATTTGAGACTGTGCGTATGTGGCTACATTTCCATATTTCTGTGTATAAATCGGAGGTTGTGTGTGAGTAAGATACAAGAGGGGCAAGACGAGGTGAGAAAAGGGGAAATTATCAAAAATACTCTGGACTCACTCTGTAGTAGTCTGTGCTGTAAACATCTCTGGACATGCCAAAGTCGCCTATCTTGACCAGCAGGTTTTCTCCCACCAGGCAGTTCCTTGTTGCCAAGTCTCTGTGGACAAAGTGCTGGGAGGCCAGGTAGACCATGCCAGCCGCAATCTGTTGGGCAATGTGCAGCATCTGGGACTGGGTGAGCTCCGCCTGGATGCTGTGTTGACCGTCTGACATTAGTACTGCATCAGGACCGTGGGACCTGCACCCAGAAACACTTAATCAGATCTTCAATCGACTGAATACTTTAGAAAAACGTAACACCAAATATTCACAAATTCTGTCTATTTTGCCAAAACAAAGTCTTAAAGATCAATCAATAATCAAAATGGTTGCAGATTAATTCCCTGTCATTTCAGATGTACCCTAAATGACAACATAAATTTTAGTTTTTAATCCAATGAATTAAATAATCTGAATAATGCAAAAATTCTGTGAATCCACCCAGCCTTGCCATAAAGCAGGTCTTCTTATTTACCAGTGGACACATTTCTATCAACTCGCAGAACACATCATAATATCACCAAGCCATACGTTTTAATGCACAGTGGACAGTGAATATTTTGGGATGTATAATCATTTGCTTTCTTGAAGAGAGTTAGGTGAGTAGATCAATGTCAATCCGGCCTGTTGGCTAAATATGTAGCTGGTGCCAAGAGACCGTTAGCTTAGCTTAGCATAGAGACGGGAAACAGCAATCCTGGCTCTGTCCAAAGGTTAACAAAAGCTAACACATTCACTCTTGTTTTCATACAAAAAACAATGTAATAAAGACGAGAAGTTATGGTTTTATGGTGGATTATGTGCTGGACTATTTCTTGGCCAAGAGCTGTGACTTCCTGGAGTCTCCGCTGGTTGCCTGGAAGTCACTGCTCCCAGCCAAGAAACAGTGCAGCATATAATCCCTTTAAAAAAACACAACTTGTCATTACATTCTGTTCTTTGTACGAGGTGAACTTAGATATAATGGGCTTTATAGGTGCTTGTAGACATTTTTTTCTTAATCTTTGTACAGAGCCATGCTAGCTGTTTCCAGTCTCTATGCTAAGCTAAGCTAATTGGCAGCTGCCTGTAACCTTTTCTTGAGCGTACAGACATGAGAGTGGTATCGATCTTCTCATCTAACTCATGGCAAGAAAACGAATAAGGAAACATCCCAAAATGTGGATCTATTCCTTGAACACATGTCAGTATTGTTAGAAGTCAAAATGATCCCACCTGAGGAACTTGTTCAGGTCCCCATGTTTCATATATTCAAACACCATGATGAGCGGGTCGCTCTCTACACACACGCCGTAGAAAGTGACGATGTGTTCATGTTGCAGGTTGGTGAGGAGCTCGGCCTCTCTGTAGAAGTCCGCTCGGCCGCTCTCGTTGGCCTCTTTCAGAGTCTGTCGAAAGGCAAAAACACAAAGATGAGGTGAGGAGCATTGTCTATAAGAATGTACATTGAGTCAAGAGAATTCACGAACTGAATGACAACGAATTGATTATTTGAGCGAACGGCTTCCTAATCTGTACCTTGACTGCCACATGGAGCTTCTCCTGGTCTGGTGTCAGGTTGTAGCACTCGGCGAGAAACACCTTCCCAAAGGCTCCCTCTCCCAGCTCCCGCTTCAGTACAATGTTGTGTCTCTTGATGTGCTGGACAACTTTAATGCAGAATACAACAAATAGCATGGGGAGTTTTGTGAGTTTTAGTCAGTTGCGGGTCAAAATAGATTAGGTCTGCAACTAAAGAATATTTTCAACATTGATTTGTTTGATTTTGCAATAAATAAATCTATAGAACATGATAGAACAGCAAGATTAACTGTCATAATCTCCAGAACTGAAAGACATAAGCATTTAATTAAAACAAAACTGACAAAAGAAGCAATTCTACAGATTTGAAAGGCTGGAACAAGCAAATGTTTGACATTTTTGCTCGATTAATGAATAATTATCAAAATTGTTGATTCGACAAATCGATCCAGAAATAAACATTTCTTAAACTATAATAAACCACCTGCAGAAAGAAAAACATTCAGGTTCATTCTGCTGAGTTGAGCCTTCCCGTAAACAAGCTTGTGTTTCTGAACATCATCTAACTGTCGAGGAGTCACTATCACAATGCTGACAACAAATATGGCGTCCGGCTGTGACCCCTGCGTGGATTTATCTGAAAAGGTCCGGGTTACTGGCCATTTGTCGAGCGAAGCGGTAACTCACACGTGTCAGATTTCAGCATGCTGCCGGAGTTACGGAAGTACTGTGGGTTCTCAATGACAGGAATCTTTGTCATCCCAATGATCACTGCGTCTGGTCCCATCTCCGAGGACGACGGGGTGTTGTTGCCATTGGAGACGTGATGAAGAGGGCTGGCAGAGTCATCGTCATTACTGATGACTGAGGAGGAGCCTAGGGAGCCACAGAGGAGGAGGAGGTGGAGAGGATAGAGAGGCAGGAGATGAGTAAAGAGTAAGACGGCATGTGGAGAGAGGGAAAGGAATTGTGGTCATCGAAGAGGAGGAGGAGAAGGGGAAGTAAGCGGAGGGTTGGAGGGAGAGAAGAGATTGAAAGACTTGTAAATAAAAATTGTACATAATGACATAAAGATACAAGAGGCAGATGTCATCCCAAATCAACATGAGTGCATGCCTTCAGAACGACTTTACTGTTAAACAGCTAGTTAAATGTTGAGGTCAAATAATACTGAGAGTTGACTTCATTTTCTTGTGATTTTAGAAAAAATAAGTAGTTTCAAATTTTTCGAAATCAGCTTATTCACTTTCTTGCCAAGAGTCAGATGAGAAGATCATCTTCTGTGTCGACACTAAATTTGAAGCTACATCCAGCAGCCGGCTAGCTTAGCACCAAGACTGGAAACAAGCTAACTTTCCCCCCTGCTTCTAGTCTTTGTGCTAAGCTAAGCTAACCAGACACACGTGAGAGTGGTGACGACCTTGTCACCTAACTCTGGGCAAGGAATCGAGTAGGTGTATATGCCAAAATGTTGAACTGTTCCTGAAGAAGATTAGTTCACCTTTAAGACCAAACTTGGAGTTTCTTCCATATTTCAGAATGATCACCATCAGAACGCAGCCAGTCAAGGCAACTCCTGCGATTCCCACAACTACATACACCTGGGAAGACAAAAAAAAAAGATAAACTGTCGACAAAAACATCTGGCATCCTTTTGGATCAGTGGTTCGCAACATGGGGTAAGGGGCCGCAAACTCCTCAAACTTTTGCTGTTTTTCTTGAGAGTTACAAGATTATTTTATTTATATATATATAATTCAAACAAAAGGGTGACAAAGGGTAACTTTTTTTTGAAGAGTAAAATGAAATGGTGAGGACTTGTGAGCATCACTTACAGCAACACTGTCGTCCAGCGGAGGGAGTGGAGAGTCTGAAAACAAAAAAATCAAAAAGCTGGTCAGAAAAACTAACTGTTAAGAGCAAGCAAATGACTTTGTAATGCTGACTGTCATGTTATATACACTCACCAGTGGTGTCTGGGCAGAAGCAAGATGCAGGCAGAGGCCACGGGAGGAGAAACAGAAGAGTACATTTGAACCGTGTCCACAGTTATTATCCAGCTGATAAGTATAACAGCTGTTAGTTTTTATAATGCTGAATCATTACTTACAGTAGTAGAAGGGTTCTTCTGCTGAAAAGAGAGGAAAAAAAGTATGTCAGCGGTCGACTTGATAAGCAGAAATCTGCTGACTTCTTACTGAATACTTCCTGTGAAAACACACCTGTGTGGTCGATGTCAGGCGGGTCGATGAACTGGGCAGAGACATTCTTCTCATCCAGACCGAACTTATTCTTTGCCACCAGCCTGTAAACGCCGTTTTGGATGTGCGTGGGGTTGACCAGCTGAAGGCAGCCGTGGTACTCACTCTCGGTGAACTGGTGGATTACGGTGCGGATGTAGTCCTGCTCCAGGAGAACCAGGTTCTCGTGGTACCACTGCAGCTCGGGCTTGGGGTTCCCCGTCACGCTGAATGGGATGCACCAGTGGTGGTCCCGCTCCGGCCCCAGCAGCTGCTGGATGGTGGGGGCAACTGACACGGAGGCAACAGTAGAGGAAGAGTAATAACGGGATGATAGGAAATCAACACCAGGAGTAAAAGCCAGTAGGAAAAGCAACATTTACGGGCTTAGAGAGGAGATGCAGTTAGGGGATGAAATGTATGGGTGGGGGGGGGGGGGAAGAGAAGCGACACAACATCTAAACGCTGACATCAGGAAAACATGGAGGAGGAGAATGAGGAGAAATGCGGCTCTAAACAAGCAGAGGAGTTTGGTAAGGCATGAGGAGCTTCACAGGAGGAAGAGTTATGGACAGGAAACATGGAGAGTCAATAAGATTTGCCAAGAGACAGTAACGATAACAAACTGAGGAGCCTTGTGCTTCCACTGCAAAAACAAGGTTTAGAAGAAAGCGTTTTAAAAGACCATGAGAGGAGATTAGACAAAACAAACTTACCGACAATAAATATAATCTCTAAAGATGCATGCTACAGTTAACAGTCAATTATAACAGAAAGGTAGGAGTCCTTACAGAGAATATTGAGGTGAAAGGTGGCCTCGGTCTGACCGACCATGTTCTCAGCGCTGCATATGATCCCCTTGCCATTATCATCAGGAGACAGGTCTGACAAGGTGATGCTGCTCTCCATATTCGAAGGATCGATCTGTAAACATTATTAGATTGCATTATATGTCCTATGGTACATATGTAAAAGTGTGAAGTAACCATTCAGCTAACTGCCACAACAGAGTGACTGTATTATATATATAGTTGGTTCTAAAGACCAACACTGCGTTCCATATCGTACAACTTTTCTTTTTACTTTTAGTACTGTTATGGAAAATTTCTATGATCAATCGGGAGAAGAGCCAAAGTTTCAATCTATGTCAATGAACAGAGTCTTGAGAGAATCAACGTTGTTCGTCTTTTAATATTTGCAAATAGGAGAGCGTATCTCAGTGTACAGTAGGGAGGCTGTCAGCTAAGTCACAGAAAAACCCATCTTTTATCCTTGCAAACCCCCCCCTCCCCCTTCACCTAGGTAAATCATCCAATGGAAAATGGGTATTTAGACACGTGACATGACAACGAGACACGTCACAATCAGGCTTTGCCGTGTGTGTTTTTCTGTAGCTCCTCACTCCCTTCACCTGTCCCTAATCAGTTCATTCAGTGCACCTGCCAGTCACATCAGCTCATGACTCTCACCTGCTCACTCTGCCTCCTTCACTATTTAAACCCCTGCCTCACACACACCCACTGCCAGATCATTGTTTGTTTCCTACCTACCTCAGCTGTGCACAGGTTTGTGGGCTAGACTAGCCAAAAAAGCATGCTAGCTTGCATACTGCAAAATGCGACCGGATGCAGTAATACATCCTGGTATTTTTGGACATGACTATATATTAGGAAGTACTAAATATTTTTCTGTCATACATAATAGTATGGTAATATGGGTATTGGAACGCAGAGCAAGACCAACTATGTGTGTGACTGTCTTTTAATGCTTTTGTACTTTCCTACTCTGCTATGGCATCCAGCTCTAAGTTCATCGGTTCCTGGCAACGATGTGAATCTTCCCAGAAACCAATAGTTCCAGTTGAGTACAAACATATGGTTTCATTTCATTTCAATCATCCCTGATGTGGTTTTTGTTTTATGGCTGTCGACAACAATGAAGCTCTATGGGAAGAAGAAGAAGCTACACAGGCTTTTCTGGATGGCTCCTGTGTTCAGTTTTAGTCTTATCATGGGATTTGTTGACTATTAGATGAATAAATAATTAAGCCTAACTCAGGTCTGGCCCTCATGTTGTTCACAGAGGTAAATTTGAAGCTTCATGAGAGCTCATCTCATGAGTAATATTTACAAAAAAAGATTCCTCAACTTGTCCACTCTTTTAAAAATAACCAGGATCCTAGAGTGGTGCACCCGAACCAAAGGTTTAAACAGGAAGCTGTGTGGTAGACCGGCTGACCTTGTGGTGGGTGGAGAGCCAATCAAGGTTCCACAGGATCTCAGGAGGAGGGGAGCCCGAGGCGCTGCACACAGCTTTGACATCACTCCCCTGCATCACCGTCACGTTTTTCGGGGTGACCTCTACTTTGGGAAGCACTGCAAGAGATGAGCACACGACATAATTGGACATCCGACCGGACCTTTGCATTGATTGATTTATTTACAGATTTATTCCCGTCTTTCCTGTCTCCATGAAGCGATCAACTCTCTGAACGTTCAATACCAGATACCCGGCGGGTTGCTTATTATAACATGGTTTCACATTACCACAGTCTGGTGGAGTGAGTGTGGCAAAGGCCTTTGGCGCTCCTCTGTCGTCTAAGCATGTCAGCTCTGGACTGTCAGTTGCCTCAAGGAGCCTCAGTTTGATCCACAAGTTCTCACAGACACAATCCAGAGGGTTACCGGACAGCAGGAGCCTCAAAAAAAAAAAACACAGCACATGAGAAACTCTTTGGCTGCACATGCAGCAAAAAAGAAGTGTACTGACACTTTTCTCTACACTTACGGGTATGTTGTGTTGAAGTTCTGAAATGTTCTCCATGACAGTGTTGACAGGTTATTGTCTCTGAGATTTCTAAAAGGGGAAGAAATGGCAATCATAATCTGGCTACTTGTGTGTACATCAATGACGCATCTACAGAGGGTCTTTCAAAATTCTACTTGCACGTATTGGAGTCTTGTATTGTTGAAAAATGCATCTGACGATATAGACGTCAGTCTTGTCTTCATCACTGTTCTGTTGTAAGGGTAAAATGGCGAGTTAAATATATGGTGGCTCCATGTAAAACACTAAAGAGGTACCTTATGATACTTACAGGTTTCTTAGGTTTATGTAGTGCCTCAGACTGTTGTCATTGATGTCAAACAGTCTGTTTTGATTCGTAATGTATCTGTGAAAAAAAAGGGGAGAAACAGTGTTATGACACATGTGCACACCGTTCATTTTATGTAAAGTTGGTCTGGAGGTAAATACAGACTGAGAGGGTTTAGCGGTCAGTTGATCTGAAACTGGTATGTTTGTATCTGTGTACGAGAGAATCAGTTGTGTGTGTGTGTGTGTGTGTGTGTGTGTGTGTGTATGCGCATGCCAGTACAACAGCATGTTTGCACACTGGCAGTATAGAGTGACAGACATTATGCTTTTGTATTAATAATAATCTGATAAATAGATAGCTCAGTTGGCAATGACAGTCAATAATCAGTACAGCTTTATTCATTATTTATATACACAAATCAAAACTTTAAATCATATTTTTAAATGGGAAATGAAATACTTCTGCAAAGCAGAAATGTTGTAATATTACAGTTATATTATTTAAAAGATATATTACTCTATTAGTTAGAGGTAGTTAAATGAAGAGATTGATTAATAAATGAAAAAGCATTTCAAATGTTCCTCACAATATATTGCTGAAGTAAACAAACTTTTCACAGCATTTGAAAATAATTTAGTTGTGTTTATAAAAACATGTGAATCAATTTGAGAATAACCGCAGGTTGTTTTAAAGGTTTCTGGTATACAGAAACACTTTTGTTTTCATATTGTACCTTTAACAACACAATGCTACAATGCATTACAAGTTTAACCTCAACAATCTAAACTGACTTTGTTGCTTCAGAAGCTTTGTTTTTATTCCCAAGTATTACAAAAAAAAATGTTATTCATGGTTAGATCTTTAGAAGGTGCAGCTGACAAGCATGGTCTTCATCAAAATGCAATTTATTGTAATATTACACTTCAAATGTGATTTATTTGCCAAAGCTGCTCCTTTTACCCACTAACAGAGATGGCCCTTTGGTCAAGCTGCTAAATGAAGAAAAGAATATTCAACTATGTAAACTACATTTATGGTGGGTATGTTTCCAGTCTGTCTGCCTCAGTAAAACTCACCCAGTCCCCCCTCCATTCTCCACTGGGTGCCATGCAGTTGTACACTTGTGCAGGGTTGTAGCAGGTACACTCCGACACAAGCCTACACACTGACGCAGATAAGGCTACATAACTGTGGGCAGCCTATCGCCGGCTGTATACAACTGATGTGATCTCATGTGTAATCTGGCAACAATGTGGTCATTTTTTTATTTTATTTTTTAAATGTTGAGGTTATATCACACCGCCGCCCAAAAGCCGAATGAACACCTCAGAGGCTGCGTCGGGCCTAAACATTTACTCTATCACTACCTCTGGAGCTGTTTTGTAAAGGAAACACCGACTAATCCAAATAAACCTGACGCGCACTCACCACCATTACGCACACACACACACACATACACACACACTATCGTCGTTACTGGCACGCGCGACCCCCATCTCCGCCAAATATACACACACACACCCGCGCACACATATACTAGGCTACATGATCTGACAAACCCTTGGTTATAAGAAGAAGAAAAAAATCACAAATTTTGTGTTTGACATCAAGCGCAGAAGGCAGATCTCTATTGATCTGTAATCCACAGGGGGAACTGATATCAGGCCTGCTGTTATTAATGTTGCTGTTGGTGTTACTATTACCTTTATTATTATCATAATCCTAGCCCTTGGGTATTATTGCGACCTACGATCGAAGTTATTTACGCATTGCATCCTAATAAGTTCATACGCTGTCTGCACGATCGTTTTCATACACTTACATCTCGGTGATGTTTTCCATGTCATCTAACGCGATGACAGGGAAATCCTCGATCCCGGGTACAGAATCAATACAAACAATCCTTGAGATGCTGCAAGTGCAGGATGCGGGGCAAGCATCGCTAAATCTCCACAGCCCCATCAAAACCAAAAACAATCCAAGACGAGCCATGCCATATTCCCCCGCGCTGGAGTCCATCGCAGGTCCAATGATATCCCACGAATCCCCCAAACAGAATCTGGTCAGATTGAATTCTTGTTAAGATTTCCTCCCTCGCCGCTTTTATCTGGCCAAGTTAATCCTTTCGACTCCGCAGGAAAAAAAAGACTACGCCGTCGGTGAGGAATGCGCAGAGCCCACGGTTTTAATATCAAGATGCCATGGACTGGCCTTCCCGTCTCCGCAGAGCTGGTATCACACTACTGCATATCGATGTCGTGAAGCAAGGTGTCAAGTGGTCCGTCCTGGTGCTGCTGCTGCTGCTGCTGCTGCTGTCTCGTTCCTCTATCTCGGGCACAGACTGTTCGCCTCTGCCTTGTAAAACAAATATGAGGTGTTCCAGATGTTTAGAGATCAATAGGCACGGCCCCCACTAGCGATTTCTCATACGTGTGGTGATGGGGAGGGAAATAAGAGAGACCGCACAGTGGAGTAAGGATGCGTGGTGATGCTGCGTGTGTAGGGAGGAAAGCTACCTGCATGCGTCTATCGATTATCGCCGAGGACGAGCGCATCTCCCCCAGCCATCACCGGGATCGGGTTCACACGGGAGATGGTTGTGATGATACCCTGGAGATGTATTTCTGACTAATTGTATTTATAGGAATTTCTTTGGGATTTTTAAAAAAACAATTTTTTTATCATGCAACAAAACCAAACACATCACCTGCTGCAGTCTCATTGGGCTGCACAAAGTGGCCAGCTGTGGTTCAAATGCCCTGTTTTTAGCGGCCACAACAACAATATGGATGTAAACTTGTGTTGTAGTTGCTCTGAAGCCATGCATTGGATGGAAGCGGCGCTTCCCCCCCCACCCCCCCACACAGACACACCAACACCGTTGTACGGTTGGCCATTAGGCCTATAGTGTGACGTACGGTTGACGCACAAGACGGGGTGCATCTATGAAAAATAATTACCTATACTATGTCTGCGAGCTTCAAATGGGTCGCACTCCAATTACTGGTCAGTGTGCGATATAGGAGGAAGAATTACAAAAAGAAACCAAAAGGTTTGCTATATGTTTTTTTTGTTTTTTTTAATTGTCCCTGACAAAAAGCTAATAATGTCAGAAATAATGTTTTTTACTCTATTAATTTCGGCACACAATTAAATAACAACCCACTATAATCATTTGTAAAGGTTTTATTTTTGGCACTGGCATAATTTGATTCTAGTTTAATAAGCCATGACCTATTAAATAGATTTGAATTTCTCAACAATATTTAGGGGCTGACCTGCAAGCATGTTGGTGTCCACTCACCAAGATATATTATTCATATTTAGACATTAATTAAAACATTTAGTTTTTACCTTTTTAAAGACACAAACGGAGAAGATTAAACATCCTATAAATCCTTAATTTCTTTTAGTCCTTTGAGAGTTACAATGCAGTGTTTAACATCAAGGCGATAATATGTTTTCAAAATGATCAAATAAAATCTGTTTACCAGTGGATTCCTAAATTTCACTCATAATGAGGAGGCATACTCGGCTAGGACACATGATCTATGACACAGCCTGGATGGTTAGTGTCGCTATGGTGACTTGCTTTTTACAAATAGCGCTGACAATGTCAAGTGTCGCTATGGTTGCAGATGAAAATATGTACGCAGTCTTTTTTTTATGAGAAACATCAAGAACTGAATTATATCTGTCTCCATGGTAACCTCAGAGTATAGCAGAGGGAAGAGAGCTCTTTATTTTGCAATAGATCCATCATATCTGAATGAGCATAACACTATTAGAAAGAGGCATGTTTGAAATAGACTGGACACAAGTCAGGCTCCTGATTTGCGATAAATGGGCAGTGAGGTGGCTGATCGCACGGCCGTATTATTTTAGCACTGCAGGGAAATTAAAGTGAATCTAGTTGAGCTGAGAAAAGTGGATTTGTGCATCTGTGTGACTTGTGAATTCAAAGAACAGTTCCTTCATTTAAGTCAGCTGTATATGTATCTTTTTTTATTTTTCTATAGCTTGAAACCTTTAGATCTTAACTTTGCAGTGGTTCCAAACATGAGTTTGAAAGAACAGTTACATCTTTAACGCTCCGAGACTTTTGGCATGACAAACCCAGAGTTCTACCTCCTCGTGTGCATTTAGTGTGGTGCCACGCTGCTCCTACCTCTTCCTGTACCAGCTGGTGGCAGACTTGTCTTGAACCTTTCGTGCAGTGATGCAGCTGTGACTCAGCCCACTGATCTACATCCTGTATCCACTGTATCTCAGTGTATGGATTATCAACGCTGTGCGCCCTGTTACACTACTGTGTCTCATCTGAGTGAATACAAACAATAGCTCTGTTTCAAACTCATCACATTTTATTTGTTTCAGACCAAACTGTGTTTCTAAAAACTACTCATCACCCAGGATTCATGAGTTATGTAATATTGTGAAATCAACAGAATATGTTTTGATCCATCTAGAAAAAGAAAAAAAAGATGAAACTTGCCTTTTATCAAGATCCAGCATGAATATCGTGAGGATGAAATGGTGACTGTGAAAATAACTCAAACACGGACATTGATGATAGATTTAAGAGGCCTCACAGCCATAAGAGGAGAAGGCCAGATGATAGTCCTGTTAAGTTACAGAAATATGAGCAAAGCCCAGAAAGAAACGACCCCAAAAGAAGAAGAACCACAATAAGCTCATTCTACTACTGAAGGCCCAGAAAAGAGAGGAAGAAGAACCAGAGCAGGTGGTTGATTATTTGACCTGCATGTCTCTAATACCTGACCTGTCATCACATGTGTAATCAGGGAGAATCAAGACCCAGTGACAGGGAGGAACCACACCAGGAGAACAGTAAGAGGAGATGGAGGTTAGATAGAAAAAGAGATTAAAAATGCTAAACCTAGGTAAGAAATAAGTGTGATAACAATCATTAATGTGTGATTTATCCCGATAACAAATTGAATGTGAAGAATCAAGTGTTTAGTGGTTGAAGTATTAATGATTTGTTATGAAGAAAGGATTAAGAATAAGAATTTAATTATTACAAAAGTCAACATAGAAGAAATGCAATTCCTAACGAAAGTGTGTAATGAGTGAATATGGAAAGGAAAGAACTATTGGAAAGTACCGAGAAGGCCGAGCGGACACAGGCAGCTTATGAAATAGGAAGTATCAGAATTGAAATAGACGGTTTGATTAACGGATCAGCAAAACATCAGTTCATGACCCAGGTTGTCTCGGGGTCATGACCTGAAGCACAGAACTTACCAGAAGTGGGGATGGTGATCGTGTATTGTGTTAGTATGGGTCATCAGCTGTAGCTCCACCCGGTCGGCCTCCTACTTACTGGAGATCTGTGGAGGACGTCCATGGGGTCAAGAACCCTCGACTTTAGAGAAGTAGGGAGTCGCCATCGATTGCTGGGAGACGCTGCGTCGTTCTGACTGTGATTTTCATTCTGAAGATTGAACAGAGTTTTTCCATCTGAGGACAACGCTGCCACCATGCAGAACTCTCTCAACCCCAAGGTCTGGCTGGCTTAAGGAGCCTATAGTCCTCTGGCTTAACAGCTGGCACGGAATGAGATGGGTTCAGCGAATGATGGGGATCCTCTTGTTTGCTCTCAATCCTCTCAGAGAGATGCTGCTATACCTATTTTGGAGATTTTCTTTTTTTTACTTTTGCATTCTTACTTTTAGCATTATTCTTCAGAATCGAATGAGGTTGTGAGTTGAACAGCAATAGAGAAAATAAAAAAGGGGCTGAATTGAGATTGTTTGAACAATTCTGTGTTGATTGCATTTGACGACAGGGAGCTGTCGTTAACCATTTCACATAGTATCTTTAAGCTAAGGCCACCAAGGGTGGTGAGAAGGCTTTGAGAATAAGACTGCATGAATCACCTTTGCACCATGATTGGACACTTCCTGGATAAATATGCAGGCTAATCTTTACCGCTTTAAGGTGAGGACCGGTCTGGACTCTTGCCCTGGAGTGCCATAGTGAGAACAGGTTGAATGAGTTTGTGCAGGTGCTTAGGTTGGACTTCCGAGTAATTTTGATAATTTTCTTCAGTTTTTTTGTTGCATTTCTGGAGTTTCAACTTCACACATAACTGTGAAAAGGCCTCATCTTTAGTCACTGATGAGGATGTCTTGAACTGTCTCCATGTGTACCACAAGGAGTACAAATTAATCCATTTCAACTTGCTTTTGCTGAAGTGAATGCTTTTTTAATTAATATTGTACACTGTATAAATAAGATATGAACTGCAAAACAAGTACATATAATTGTTCTATAATGTTACGTCATCATTTTGTTTCTATTAGAACACAGTAGCCAACCTTAGCAGCATAAATGAGGAGTGCTATGCCTCCTGTCCTTTGACAAATAATAATAATAATAATCATTTTCTTGGGGGCTTCTGCACATGAGGCTAGTGCGGCAGTGGTTTATGCATCATGGTTAAGCACAAGTAAGCACAGTAGAACACCCACAGCAGCAAATCCCCATTTTGCTGGAAAAATCACTGATGATGAAAATAGTGTAATTACAATAGATTAATCCTCCGTTGATCGGCTAATTAATTAATCAACTGATTGTTTGTGTTTCAACTGGGTGTTTTTGTACCCAACTATAGCAAACACAATGGGAATCAATTGTCATTGCTGACCCACACTTATATTTTCACCCATTCTTTCACAAGTTAAAGCATTGTACTGATATTAGGCCACTAAATTTTAATAACCTGCCCAGATACTACAGACAAAACAAGGAGCTCTCTAGCTAACTCTGGCACATTGGGGTGAAAACTGAAATGTTAATTAATGTGCACTGTCCCTGGTAAATAAATAAATACATAAATAAGCATGACATTTTAGGACTAACCAACATGTCTAGAAGTACTTTGAGAAGTGGATGAGATGGTCCCAAATAAGGACAATGTGTAAATGAAGAATCTAATTTAGTACTCTGTGCTGTACTCTAAATCTCATTAGATTTAATAATATATATATAAATAAACATTCATAGTCACGCAGTGGTGTTAGTAGATGGGGGTGTCTGCCGAGGGGGCGGGGTTGAGAGAAGGTGCTGCCTGCGAGCCTCAACTTGAGACAATAATACCCCAAACCTAACGGAGAGTTTGATAAATTGTTCTGGGTGACCACACGGTTACGTCAATTCCCCTTTGTGAGTGTAATGTGTCTAAGCCCCGCCCGCCCGCGCTGACTTGACAGAAGTAAGCAACAAACACCGGGTGAGTGTCGACGAATCGAGCTCATCCACAGTCGTCTTCTCTTCTCATGCTGAAAACGTGCACACGTTCCTGGGCGAGGAGACCGTTGGAGGACCGCAGTGAACGTGGCTTTGCTGCAGGTTTGTTTTTCTCACTGTTATGTGGCGTTAGCGTGCAACGTTGCGTCATTTAGCCTGTTTTGTCAACTACGGTTCATGTAATTTGATTTCACCGCTGACATTTAACTACGAGGATAACGTAGCTATATCTTCTAGCTTAGCAGAGCTGTTAGCTTAGCAAAGTAATGTCAACTTAGCAAAGCAGCTAAGGTAACTCCTGTTTGCATCTGCAATTAGCAGTAACGCAACGTGTTTTCATGGGGCAGGGTTAGCTGTAAATGCTCTTTAAAAAAACCTCATGCTAGTTAAAAAAAAAGGTTGCTGCTAATTCCTTAGCTGTGTAGGCGTTGACCAGTGTCTCCCTGTAATGTAGCAAGGCCTCAGTACAGTAAGGGATGGCTGCAGAAGTGCAACCTGCCTGAGCAGTGTTTAACTAGACACAGTGGGCGGTGAGTGGAGGTGGACTGCACGCGTTAAGTAGAGACCATGCAGGCTAGTTTGAGACTATATTTAAAGTGTTCAGTCCTGGATGGTGTAGATGACAGCCCTGACTGTTATGATGCTGAACTACCCAGACAACATGCATGCAGCTGCATGCACACTTGCCTTAAAATGTCAGTTATTAGAATTATTATTTATTAGAATTAGAGCTGCAGACCAATAATCTGGAACTACTTTGATTATAGATTTATTTTTCAGCCATTTAAGGACGTTGCCAAACATTCTCTCATTCCATCTTTTAATTTGTAAAGATTTGCTGCTTTTTATCATTTTATGTGGTAGTAGACTGACTATGTGGATATAATATTTGTCTTTTAGACTGTTGATTGGACAAAAGAAGACATTCAAAGACATTTCTGATGTATTATAGGCCGAATCATTAATGCATTACTTCAGAAAATGATTGGCAGATTAACTGATGATAAAACGAATCTCCAATTGCAGCTCTAATCAGAATATTTGATTAGATGGATGTGTCGTATGTAGCCAGGCTGATTGTATTAATCCTGTATTATTATTATTATTATTTTTTTTTTTCAGATCCAGGGAGAGGAGCCTGTTTGCATTCCACTGCAGGTGCAAGACAATGGAGGGGAAACCCGAACATCAGGACGAAGATACCGCATTCGGCAACACTGACGCTAATGGTGAGACCCCACACATCTTCGTTCCGATCAGCCATTCGTGACCACGATGTAAACTGCACGACCAGACTAATGCGTTAAGCAGAAAACGAACTGAGCCCGTGAAGTGTTACACCCAGCTTGAAATACAGTGTGTAGATGTATCTGCTAATTAGTTCACTCAAGGGAGGAAAAAAAGTAAAAAAAACTGAACATTTCTGGCTGACACTATATAGCATGTGGACGTGTCAGATGGTTGAGGGACTCTCCTGTCCAAGAGACTGCTGTTCAGTGGGCCCTGAGCAGATCTGCCCGTCTTCTAATCCAGGAAGGGTCCGTGGTGGTGCTGGACGTATTCCAGGATACAGTTGGCTGTTGAATGAAACCCATTCTCCGGGTGGAACATGCTGTGTAGACCCAGCACTCGCCATGTATTTATATTTTTGTCACTTCTATTAAGTGTTTGTGGCTGGTAATGATAATTTGGTTCCCTCTGGCATTTTTCTTCTTAATATTAATAGTCCTGAATCAGGAATAATCAAGCATTGCTGTCTTTTATACTGCCACACTGAGGTGCCAAAGTTCGAATTGTCAATTGTACTGAGTTGCGTTCAAGTTATGACGTCTGTTCCTGATGGATACCTCATCCAGAATGACGACCTGGCTACGTTTTTACCTGGATTTTCTTCTTCCCGTTCAGGTAAACGCCCGGCTGAGGACATGGACGAAGAGCACGCCTTCAAACGTTCTCGCAACACAGATGAGATGGTGGAGCTGCGTGTGCTGCTACAGAGCAAAGTAAAAACCCGTATTAGTTGTTAAGTCACACCGCAGTTTTTTTTCCCCGATTGCTCAAAGCGTTTATTATTATTATTTCTAAGGAAAACCTTCTTTTCCTTCACAGAATGCTGGTGCTGTTATCGGAAAGGGAGGCAAGAACATAAAAGCTTTACGCACAGACGTGAGTAAATGGATGAAATGCGGCTAACGGTTCTGCAGCTGAGGAGCAAGTTTATTTGGCTAATAAAATTAAAAGGATCCAGACGTACATTTCAATTCGTTCAAACGCCCTATTCATTGGATTCCCACAGAAACAATCCCAGATTTTTTTCTCCAGCAGTTTAAAGAATTGACATGCACTGTTAGTCCAAGTTTTCTATAACGGTGAAAGTTGTCTCATGTGGACCGAGAAGAAAGGAGTCGTTAGACAGATCTGTTGGATTTTTGTGACTCTCGACCTGATTCCGGTTCCCCTCACAGTGTTGAAAGCCTGAGTGGATATAGTCTCAGGGACGGGGATCTCCAGACTGTGTTTTATACTTATCTTTGTCCAGGTCACTTCCTGTTCTTCTTCATTCACCACAGTTTCAAGTCTCTCATTTCACTCTTGGGACAAAGTATAGCCTGTATTCAATTAAAAATGTATTCCTTCTCCCCCTCTTCCCTTCTCCTTTTACTTTTTTGTTTTTATTTTTGGCCACCTTCCTCCGTTGCCCATGTACTGGATCAACATGCCCCTCCTGCGTTGCTCACCTTGACGTTGGCCCAACCTCCGCCCGCCCCTGAACGCCCGCCCACCTGCCCACCTGACACTCCCGGTTGGCCCCGCCCATAAACCGCGCCCCTCCTTAAATGGGCACCTAACTTGACATCTTGTGATTGAATGCCCCCCGCCCAATGCCAACCTCCTCCACCACAACCACCACCACAACCACCACCACCACCTCGGTCCATGCAGTTCAATGCCAGTGTATCAGTCCCAGACAGCAGTGGCCCAGAGCGGTATGTCCCACCAGTTATTGCCTCACTGCCTGATTAGAACAGTGAAACACATGTCTTTGATATCCTGCCTTCTGTTTCATTTTAACATTTCTATATACATGACCGTATACCCCCCTCCCCTCAAACACCCCCCCCCCCCCCCGCTCCACTTGTAAGACACGTGTATTGTTCCTTTTTGATTATTTATGTCCATTTTCAGCATCTCCATTCAGTTGGACGTTTTGTCCTTACAGTTTATTGTCCGTGCGGTGAATCGCTGACAAACCAACTAAGTAGTAGCGACGCAGCTGTTGGATGTTGTTGTTCCTTGCTGTGATGTTTAATTTTTTACCATGAAACCTGTTGGAAAGCAGACATCTTTTTCTCTCTCTGTTTTCTGTGGCCCACCTGGCCCCCCTTACCTCCGACCTCCCCCTCCCTCCCCCACTGTTTTCAGCCACCCCTGCCCTTACCTCTGGAAGAGCCCTGGCTTGTTTGGAGGCCCCCCCCCCCCCACTCTTGTCACTCATCAATGTCGTGTCTTTATTTCATTGTGCTGCATCCCTTCTGTTAACTTTCTTTCGGGCCACATCGGATCAGAGCTGCCTGCCAAACCTTTCATAACCCTCCCCCAACCCCTCACCCCTGCTCCTGTCCTGTACCACTAAGTAGTTGGTAACCACTCGCATTTCCTTCCCCACCTCAACCCCCTCTGCTCTGTTACTCCTCTCTACTGCCCACCTCGTCTCCTCACCTTCAGCCCCGAGCCCCACCCCTCCTCCCCCCTCCTCCACATCCCCTGGTCACGATGAGAAGGTGTGCTGGTGGCGCAATTGTCATGGCAAGCTTATGTTTGAGTTTGTTACGTTCCCTCTCCCCAACTTGCTGGTGGTGGGATGGTCATAGAAGATCTGTCTCTCTTTCACATCCCCCCCCCCCCCAACTCTGTGTGGCCAGTCTCACTTTAATTTCAGCCGTTCTGAAGCTGCCCATCCTCCCAAGGCTTCTCTTACTTAGAAAATAATATTAGATTGAGTGCATGTCTAGTGTAAGGGAAAAGTTGTAATTGTGTGTAGTGTGCAGCAGTCTTAATTTCTCTTCTTTGTAGTTTGTCCGTTACCGTTTGCTTGACTGCTTCATGTATTTCTTTAAAACCTGGTTTTGCTTTGTTTTCTACTTCTCGTCCCCCTTTGTAACGCCTTGCTTCCTTTTGGCCACAATGGTTGCTGACAGGATCCTGAGTGTGAACGCCAGCATCGACACCATTGGAGACATTCTGCTGAAAATCATACCAACTCTAGAGGAGGTAAGCCACCGTGTTAATTACCTTGTTAATTAAGTGTACACGAACAGAGGGCAGACCAGGATGATTGATGACATTGCCTTTCGGAATTAATAGAATCGGGGGGGGTAGCATTAGGCAGAATTTGAAGCTCACTTTATGATGGAGTTCTGCATGAGCCGTAAGGTTTTCCTGTAAAGCACAAGGACACACGAGCGGCACAAGTCACATCCGTCCTTTTGGTTTTGCACTATTTCAACCTGACAATGCAACAACGAAGGCAGTGAAGAAGAACACTGCTATCTTGTGAACATGGAAGTTAACTCTGCAGGCTTCAGATTGACTTGCTGCAGATGACCTGGATGCCCAAAACAACCAAACTGCCCTAACCCAACCAGGAACCCGTTACTTTGTCGAGACTCATTGGCAACCCATTCTAATATTGATCCACTATCGTATTGAGAAGTTGGCACACATTGCTTAAGATGTGTCCATACATCAAAGTGAAAGGTAGCGCATGTTTATTGCTCCAGATTTTGTGTGCCTCATGGTCGTTTGCCTTGAATATATTTTCCAAAGTGGCGGCTCTGCCATAACTACCACCTTTGTGAAACTCAAAGTGATTTTGTCTAGACTGTGTAAATCAGTGGTGCTTTTGAGGTTGTTCTCCTCCAATTGTTCTGTGTTCGGCAAATGCCGTCATGATTCATTGAGTTTCTTTTGCCATGTGATGATTTTTGAGACTGCAACAGCTATTTGAGTGCCAATTATTTTGCGTCGGTTACCTCGTGCTGCTTTAAAAACATGTTGTTTTTAAACGGTCTTATTTTACTACTTTTTAATATCTGAAATGTTTCTGGACCGATCTTTTAAAACAAGACTACATGGATTATATGCTTGTATCAGTTCAGTTTTAAATTGCATTATTTCAAGAGAGTGAAACTAAAGATTGCTATTGTGTTCCAGAAAAACATTTATGCTTTTATCAGAATCAGTGTTATTGGTCACGTAGGAGTCATGCATACATACATAACGTCGGTGGGTATGTACAGTATTTGCAGAAATTAGAGTGTCTAATTGCAGAAAAGCTTTGTGCGTCAGCTTTGGGAAGAGTTTCGGGCCCTACTGACACCACTGATCCCGCTTTGTGTTTCTGTAGTACCAGCATTACAGTGGGATTGATTTTGACTCAGAGCTTCGCCTGCTGATCCATCAGAGCTTGGCAGGGGGCATCATCGGGGTAAAAGGTGCCAAGATAAAGGAGCTGAGAGAGGTAGGACAGAGTCCAGATTAGCAGACGCCTCGCCACTGCTGCTCTGCACCAACAGCTGTTAATATCAGAATTGTTTGAGTATTCTATTGCTATCTATCTGACATGAATTGTATTTTCTACATATACGTCTTGACACTTTCGTGTTTCCATGCACTAGAACACTCAGACCACCATCAAGCTGTTCCAGGAGTGCTGTCCACACTCCACTGACAGAGTCGTCTTGGTGGGAGGAAAGCCAGAACGCGTCGTTGAATGTATAAAAGTTATCCTGGAGCTGGTGTCAGAGGTGAGTTTACATCTCTGAGATCTGCTAAAAGCCTCAACATACTTTATATAGTCATGTGTTGCAGATGTAAGGACAGTTAAAAGGCTTAGAGGCTGAAGTCCATTATTTAAACTTGATGTATAGTTTGTGAGAAGTAGCCAAATTGTTTGTTTTACAGCGACAGTTATTTCAGAACAGAGCCGTCTTTAACGTTCTCTCATTTTTCAGGCGCCAATCAAAGGTCGGGCCCAGCCTTATGACCCCAATTTCTACGACGAGACGTACGACTACGGCGGTTTCACCGTGTTGTTTGAGGAGAGAGGCAGACGACCGATCGGCGGCTTCCCCATCCGTGTGCGTGGCGGCTTTGAGCGCTTGCCCCCTGTTCGTGGAAACAGACCCATGCCCCCCTCCAGGAGGGACTATGACGACATAAGCCCCCGCCGCGGCCCCCCGCCACCGCTGAGCAGAGGTGGACGAGGGGGAAGCCGAGCGCGTAACCTGCCTCTTCCCCCACCACCACCGCCAAGAGGAGGGTGAGGAGGAGACCCCACTAACCGTGGATACTTTCACACCTTTAACCTGTTTGGTTCATTAACATGAACTCTGGGGCGTTTTCCTCGAGTGGTTTGGTTCGTAGTGACCACACAGTAACAGTCATCCTGTAATATTAAGGCACAAAATGCTTTTTTCTTCCTTTATTTGTCATGACAGATATTGCTCATAGTCAGTTATTTTTCCTTGAGCTCTTTGTGACACAGTCGCCAAAACTGTCCGATCAAGGCTTTACCTGTCAGTCCATTTGACTTCATGCTCACAGCTTTTGGGTGATTTGTAAAACATCTCTGTGAACATGAACCAGATCAGAACTAAAAGGCAACAACCGATCATTTTTTCCCTTGGTCCGGACCAAATGAACCAAACTACATGTGTGAAAGCACCCTTAGATACTCAATTGTTTAGATACAGTTAGACAATTATATCTATCTCTGTCATTGTTTGCAGGGGAGACAGGTTCTCACATGGCAGCTATCATGGCGGCATGGACGACAGACCAAGGTGAATACGGAGCAGCATTGTCAATAATTCAATGTTCTCTCAAAAGCAGAGCGACAGATATCGGTGTAAGTTGCTCAGTAGCAGAATGTCAACCCCACCGGCCCTGATTCTGAGTCAGGTCACAGGTCATCTGTAGAGTCTGTATGTCCTTTCACACTCACAGCTTTTCTAAATACCAATCCCAACAGCTCTGACCTGCGAGATACTTTCAGAGTCAAGTGTCCTGTAGAGGAGAGAAACCATACTAATGCACGGCTTTTTGTCTTCAGTGACAGAAGAGGCCGAGGAGGAGACCGTTACGACAGCATGGTGAGTGCCGATGTAACGCCCGGCGGTGTGTTTTGCAGCGTCCCAGCTGTGCGTTTGGTGAATTGTGTTTCAGATAATAATGTGATTGGAATTCCTTTTTTTCCGATTGTAGTACAAGCACGGAGGTGCACGGACACTGTGCTGCTGTTTCACCGTGTGTGCACACTGATATAGGCCTGTTGTTGCCTGGCAACAGTCATCTCCGTGGTTACCACAGAGCAGCCGAGTACGTAGTCCGGAGATCCAGCGGGCTAGCAAATGAACCCGAGCTGAGAAACCCAAAAGCAATCCCTGAACGGGCTTCTTCTTTCAGGTGTTCGCTGCAAGCAAATAGCTTCAATAATAAGGCAAATAATACATTTGATCAAATAGACGCCAATAGATGTCAGTTAATTATTGAGATTCAAGAACAAACATGATGCGATCCAGAACATCGTTCATATCAAAATGCAAATGAATTTCAACAGTAAGAGAGGAAAAAAATACTTGAATATGATAAGATGTCCTTTGATAATAGATAATAAGCTTTTACTCATCTAAAGCTTAATAAATACAACATGCAGTTTACTGTTAGTGTTTAGATGCTCACATAACTTAAACACGTTAGCATTTCCACCACTCTATCAACAATCTGAAGAGCCAATGGCTTTAAGAAGTTAAGGCAAACTAGTATAGTATGTCCTAAATATGAGCAATGAATTCTTTGGTTAGATTATCATGGTTCACTATCATAAACCATATCTATAAAAAGTAATATTCCAGATAGTTTCTCGATCCATTTGCATTAAAAAAAGCTTAAGTTCAAATACGTTTTAATACTTTAAATATTTTCTTATGGCATCTGCTTTCACCCAATGTCGTTAAAAAAAATATTCACGCTCCAAACTAACCAGAAGCCTGAGAGCTGTGTGAACTCTGTTGTCCTCTCATAATCAGCAGAAATACACTTAGTGGCCACTTTATTAGGTACACCTTTGTAATACTGGGCGTGACCCTCGTTTGCCTGAATTTACTCCTAAATTCCTTGTTGCATTGGTTCAACAAGGTGCTGGAAGCCATTCTTGGCGATCTCTATTGTTGGCTAGTAAAAAGGAAAGAGAGTCCGTCCTCACGCTCATCGCCTGCAAGCGTCACACGTGTCAAAATTGCAGAAGCGTTTCCTGTCCTTGCCTGTAGATGGCACCCCAACACGTTTACCTCTGCGGTTCTGAACTGCTGCAGGTGGTGTCCACCTTACCAACAGATCGTACATGTTGGACCTGACCTGCAGGTCCAACTGCTGATGACAATAAAAGTGTGTCTCCCTTTGGGAGTGTCCACATGTCGGTTTCATGATGCTGAGCACTTAAAAGGTGTGTCTAAGCCGATGCCACATTATCACCATTACATTATTGTGGAACAGGTGTAACCTTCCACTGCCGTGGTGATTAATGAATTCATAATAATAATGAATGAATCCAGAAACACTCATCGTCTCAGGGTGGTTACCTCAGATTGTTTCAGTGGCCTGCAGGCCTCAGATTTGAATCCACTAATGTAGTTTTCAGACGAAGTGTATTAAGATATTTGAAGCATGAATGTCACAGATAACTGCAGGGACTGCTTCATGCTGTCAAATCAGCCTGTGATCCCACCCAGTACCGACTAATATAACGTAGAATGTTTATGATTTATTATTATTTCTGAAAACTTAGGTTCTGATAGTATACTGTCCTCATTGCGTCATTAAAACTGTTTTATGTTTCCCTTTTTCTTCTTCCAATCAATCCTGAAATGCAGAGTGGAGGTGGATATGGTGAGTGTTGATATTATTATTTTTTTAAATCAATTTTTAACGTGGGACTTATTATTGTAGTTTCAGCCACCATTCAATACAGACATGTTATGTAGAGGCAACCACATACAGTAGACTGTCTTTTACACTCCGTGTCCACTTTATTAGGAACACTTGTACGATATACTGCAGTCCAATGCAACAACCCTGCCACACCCGTAACATTATGAGCGTTGTAAAGATAGATATCTTTACAACGCTCATAATGTTACGGGTTCGGTGACATTGTCATTGTGTAAACTCAACTACATGTTTATAACTGAGGTCATAGTTAATATACACTTTATATTAAATCATATTATCTGCTCCCTATTTTCATACATTAGGTGAGCAGCATATCAGAAATGCCTCTGAATATAATGCTGATTATGACCTCAATGCTGAAACATATCGTTGCATGAACAAAAACGTGGCGTCATGACATTTGTTTAAACCCACATTATACAAGTTCATTGGGGAATGAACCGTAATGCTCAGATTAGAACCTGTCTGGTTGCCTGATGGCTTATGTTGGTGCAGGTTATGACACATCACCACACCCGAGCATTTACAACATTGAATTATCTTAATTTATGTCCTTCAACATATTCGTTAGAGCGCACAGAGGGAGAACCTATTTGTCTTGGCCATTTGCTGTATTTTCTTGTTTACTATCACACTATCTCTCGTCTTTGTCCCTGTGGTGTATTTTCATTTTTCACTTTCTTGTTGCCTTTCCAATGCGTTCAAAGACAACAATTCTTCCTGGGAGCACTTTCAGTCTGGTGAGTGGGGATGGATTACTCTTGTCCCAGTGTCTTGTTTCCTCACCTAAAGGGATTGTTTCCTCCTGTTGCATGTTTTAGTCAAAGACTAATTTACTATCTCACCTCTGATTTAAGGTGGTAGAGGCTCATACAGTGATATTGGAGGCCCAGTCATCACAACACAAGTCACCATCCCAAAAGATGTAAGTAAGACATCTATTCACTCTCAAAAAGACCCCAAAACTAGACTCTTTGCAGTAAGGAATGACACTTTTCACTCTATTTTCAATTGTCCCGTGTGGTTGTTCCACAGCTGGCTGGCTCCATCATCGGTAAGGGCGGCCAGAGGATCAAGCAGATCCGCCATGAGTCTGGCGCATCTATCAAGATTGATGAACCACTAGAGGGCTCTGAGGACCGCATCATCACCATCACAGGAACACAGGACCAGATCCAGAATGCCCAGTACCTGCTGCAGAACAGGCATGTGCTCCTGTGACCCCCCCCCCCCCCCCCCCCCCCCCCCCCCCCCCCCCCCCCCCCCC